AGAGCAGGCTGACCTGGGAGTCTATGGGGTCGGGGAGAGTCCTAGCTTCCCCTCGCCGGGCCCCTGTCGCGGGCCCAAATCACCTCACCACTCTGAAGGCCCTCTCTTGGATGGTATCTTTGTAGACATAGAAGTTGTTCAGTTCTTGGAAAGGGCCTTCTCTGTCCAGGCTGTGTAAACACACCATTTTTGTCATGACTTGGCTCAGAGGATCTATTTTCACTTCAGCTCCAAATTTCATCTCCAGCAAAATAGCTCTCATGGTTTTAGGGTTGCTTAACTTTATCTCCAAAAGAGGGCTTACAGTACAGGAGAGATTATGGTTCAGCTTCGGTGGAGGATCCAGAAACGCTCTCAGAGACACCTCCTGGAATTCTCCTACGGCTATGTGTCCTTGGGGTACATGAACAATGATGTCTGAGTCAGGTAACTGAACTGACCCTCCTTCGTGGTTTAATTTACAAACTGTAATGGTCTCTGCAATTTGTGTTTGAGCCCATCCAGGACTTTGATTAATTATATTCAGATCCACACAAGAGCATGCTAGCTGACGTTGACTTAACCAAGCCATTTTGTATGCTTTTCGGTCATTTTGAAGCCACTCTAAGTCTTGTACTAGGATCTGGTCAGAGTGGTGTTTACTCTGATGAGCATGTGCTGTATCGTGTAAGATTTCCAGGAGCTCTGAAACACTCCTAGACCTTTCCGACGTCCTCGAGGAAGACGGCCTAAGCACCTGATCCATGTCAAGTTCATCTTCAGAGGAATCAAAAGAATTCCCTGTTTCAATTTGCTTTAAAGAAAGAAAAGGATCTTCCTTCAAAATGGACAAATTATCTCTCTTTTGCTTATTTCTTAGCTTAGTGATGTCATCCAGAAATGGGTTCAAGGCAGATAGTTCATTCCAGAATGGATTTGCAGCTTTGGCAAAACCATCACCATAGTGAGTAGAAGCATCTGTCCAGTTGTGAGGCAAGTCTAACACCTGGCATGCTTGTTATTTAAGCAAAAAACAATGCAAAGAAAAAAATAAGTGGAAATCTGAGATAAAACCATGATTAGTTTATTCATAGGTTATAAATTCAAAACTTCCTTTAGGCTTTGGTTTTTGATGCTGCTGTCCACTACAAGCTTAGTGGTAAAACCATATCCACTTATTTATAATGAGGAAAGGGGAAGTTTATACCAAGTTATTTTAAGTACAAATACATTAATTCTATCTTAAAGAATCATGAAGTATAAAGTAAATGAATGCTGAGTACAGTAGATAATTATGTATAACAACACATTAATAATGCATTTAACACATTTACTTAGACTTACATAAAGTTATTTCTTAGTATTTTATGTTTCATTTACCCAAGTAAACACTGCAAAAAGTAGCCAATATTCATAATTTTTCTAAACATTGACTTGTTGGTCTCATTACATCCAAAAAATTAATTTGAAGTCTTTCTTTTCAAATAAAATCCAAGGAAAAAATCCTAAACAAAGCCATATGAACTTGAGTAGTTTTCAAAACAACCTTGTAAGTTAAAATTGTCATTAATTATTTATTTCTGGAAACATTGTATTAATAAACTTAACATTGCATTTTGAGTGTCTGTGAAAGACATATTGAAAAACCAGATTGACAGTGAAATTACTGCCTGCAAATTCTGAAAAATTGTAATTGTAAAATACGGGAAACACTTCATTGTTTCTTTGGAAAGGGCTTGAAGAACACAAAAAAAAACATGCTCAATACCCCCAATGTAATCAAGGTCAGTTTGTGTTTAGAGTGGCTTTTGTTTGACTCTTTCTACCAGTCTAATGACAAGTCACAAACATGAGCACATGTGCCTTTGATACTGCTGTAGGGACAATGAAAGCCACATGGACAACTGAGTAATCCAAAGTTCTCTAGAAACAAGAGTTTCAGAAAACTGTTACCTTTTTCCTAATGAAGCTTTTATTTTGCTTTAAGTAAGTAATGTTACTTATTAAAAGATATAAGATGGATTTTGAAAAATAGAAATAGCATTTCTCTTACTATCACACATCCTCTAATCATCTACCCCAACTCTCTCAAAACTCACTTTCTACTATGAGCATCAACTCAATTGGATTCTGCTCCATAAAAATTACTAGGTCGCTTCAGTCCCTGCTTGTCGCCATTCCCCTCAAGTTCACATTTTCAGGACATACTATTTGTTTACTAATAATTTATGAATTAATGATATTTATTGTAATCTGTGAATATGCTTTTATTTGTGTGTGTGCATGTTTGTGTGTGATATGTGTGTGCATGTGTCTGTGGTGCATGTTCTGCATGTGTGTGTGGTGCATGTGTTGTGTTTGTTGCATGTATGTGAGTGCATGTGCATGTGTTTTATGTGTGTGCATGTGTGTGAGATGCATATTGTGTGATGTGTGTATGTGGTGCATGTGTGTGTGTGTGTGTGTGTGTGTGTGCAGTGTCTTTGGGGGAGGTGTGCATACAATTACACCTATATGTAGAGAACAGATGTGAACATCAGGTGTTTCCCTCTATCAGAGTTCACCTTATATTTTGAGACAGGGTCTCTCATTAAACCTAGAGCTCACTGATTAGCTACATTTTCTGGGCAGTAAGCTCCAGATATCTCCCTGTCTCTGATCCCTTAGCACTGGGACTACAGACACACACCCATGCCTGGTTTTTACAGTATTAAGGCAAAATAAAGTCTTGTCTTCATGCTTAAATGGCAAGCATTTTATACACTAAGGCATCTCTCTAGCCCTAGCACATTAATAAGTGTACTTTTTAAAAGAAGCACTTATCAATAGGACAAGATAGAAATCAGAGAAACATCACACATCAAAATAGCCACAAATAGCATAAAATATATCAGAATAATTCTAACCAAACAAGTGGAAGACTTGTATGACAAGAACGTTAAATCTTTGAAGAAAGAAATTGAAGAAGACACCAGAAAGGGGAAAGATCTCCCATGCTCTTGGGTAGGTAGAATTACCATAGTAAAAATGGCAATCTTACCAAAAGCAATCTACAGATTCAATGCAATGCCCATCAAAATCCCAGTAATATTCTTCATAGATCTCAAAAGAACAGTACTCAACTTTATATGGAAAAGCAAGAAACCCAGGATAGCCAAAAACAGTCTTGTAATAAAAGAACCTCTGAAGGTATCAAACTCCCTGACTTCAAACTCTACTACAGAGCCATGGTACTGAAAGCAACCTGATACTGGCATAAAAACAGAAAGAAAGACCAATGGAACTGAATCGAAGACCTGGATATTAATCCACACAACTTCGAACACCTGATTTTTTGACAAAGAAGCAAAAAATATCAAATGGAAAAAAGAAAACATATTTAACAAATGGTGTTGGCATAACTGGATATCAACATGTAGAAGAATGAAAATAGTTCCATATCTCTCTCCATGAACAAAATTTAAGTCCAAATCAATAAAAGACCTCAACTTATGCCAGCCACACTAAACCTTATAGAAGAGAAAGTGGGAAGTACATTTGAATGCATTGGCACAGGAGACCACTTTCTAAATATAATCCCAGCAACACAGACACTGAGAGAAACAGTTAATAAATGGGACCCCCTGAAACTGAAAAGCATCTGTAAAGCAAAGGACATGGTCAATGAGACAAAATGACAGTCTACAGAATGGGAAAATATCTTCACTAACCCTACATCAGACAGAGGTCTGATCTCCAAAATATACAAAGAACTCAAAAAAATTGATCATCAAAAGAACAAATAATCCAATAAAAAATGGATTACTCACCTAAACAGAGAACTCTCAACAGAGAAATCTAACATGGCTGAAAGACACATAAGAAAATGCTCAACATCCTTAGTCATCAGAGAAATGTAAATCAAAACTCTGAGATTCCATCTTACACCTGTAAGAATGGCCAAATTATGACAACTTATGCTATAGAGGACGTAGGGTAAAGGAAACACTCCTGAATTGCTGGTGGTAGTGCAATCTGGTACAGCCCCTTTGGACATTAGTGTGGCGATTTCTCAGAAAATTAGGAAACAACCTTCCTCAAAACCCAGTATTACCACTTTTGGGTATATATCCAAAGGATCCTCAATTGTGCAACAAGAACATGTGCTCAACTGTGTTCATAGCAGCACTGTTTGTCATAGCCTGAGTCTGGAAGCAAGCTAAATGCTCCTTAACTGCAGAATAGTAAGAAAAACGTGGTACATTTACACAATGGAGTACTACACAGCAGGAAAAAATAGTAACATCTTAAAATTTGCCGGCAAATGGATGGAGCTAGAAAACATCATATTGAGTGAGGTAACCCAGAACCAAAAAGACAATTATCATATGTACTCACTCATAAGTGGTTTTTAAACATAAAACAAAGAAAACTAGCCTACAAATCATAATCCCAGAGAACCTAGACAACAATGAGGACCCAAAGAGAGACATACATGGATCTAATTATCATGGGAAGTAGAAAAAGACAAGATCTCCTGAGTAAATTGGGAGCATGAGGGCCATGGGAGAGGATTAAAAGGGAGAGGAGAGGCAGGGAGGGGAGCAGAGCTCAATAAAATCAATTTTAAAAGAAAGCATTTATCTTTAATTTTATTCTATTTCTGATATCACTTGTACTTGAGAATATTGTAAACATTCTATAGCAATTTTTAGAGGCAAACATTCCATATGTATAGGAAATGTAAATTGACTTAATTACACAGCAACATTACCATATTATAAATTCTTATACCTGTAATATGATTTTTTGAGAGTTTAGAGACTTCCATGTCAACCAAATTTCCTCCAGCTCTATGTCAAGCAGTTCCTCTTGGGCATCAATAGGCTCTTTCACTGATTAGCATTTTGCCATCTACAAAACAATTAGAGGACATATTTATTATATGTATATATAAGCAAGTTGGCAAAGGAAACAATCTAAAAAATGGTCGTTCTTATTTAAATAGAAAACGTCATGTATGTATCTATACAGAGATAGGCAGTGGTCACTCATGCCTTTAATCTCAGCACTGAGTAGGCAGAAGCAAAAGGATCTCTGTGAGTTCAAGGCCAGCCTGGTTTAACAAAGCAAATTCCAGGAGAGCCAAAGCTGTTACACAGAGCAGAGGTCTCGGCTTCTACTAAATGTTCTGAAATGAATGTTATCACTATTTTGAAAATTATCAATTTTAGATTAACCCCAGAAAATGAATTTACCATGAAAATACCTTCATTAGTAAGTCAATATAAAACAACCAATAAAAGCCTGAGATAACAGAAAGAATAGTAAGTTGACACATTATTAAGTGAATAATCTCTGATGGCTAGAAAATTAAATAAAACTAATCTGAAAAATCTCAAATTCTTCTACATGTTCAATGCAATCCCAAGAAAAATTGCATTAGATATAGATTATATGTCTATGAGTATGCTTGTAATTTTTCTCTTTTATTTTTAATTGAAAAGTCAAAATTATTAATAGTTATCATACAAAATGCTATTTTGGAGCTTCTTGTTTTAAACATGTTTTTGTCATTGAAAATGCTTAAGACAAATGTTAAAGATAATAATTCAGATAGTGTTCATAGCCTACCAGCTATCAGCATTTATTATAAATGTGCACTAATGAATATAATGTGAAATCAGAACAGAAATATACCAAGGATACAGAATGGACACCCCAGAAAGAATCTCATACTCATATGAAATCTTGATATCTACCTGACTGAGGCAGCCATGTAGGTGTCATGAATCATTGGTTGTCCATGTCAAAAGCAATAATATCCCTTCCCCCTCTCCAACATCTTCCTAAGTATCCCTCAATGGCCTGTAACTCTCTGTGTAAACCAGACTGTACTTGAACTCAGTGGGCCACCTGCCTTTGCCTCCAAGCACTGGTGCATCAAAGATGCTATGAAAGAGAAACAGAATAAAATGGAGGGGGGACTGACGAGGAGAGGGGGGAGTGAAGGCAATTTAGAGAGAGAGGAGGGATAAATAACACCAAAGCTTTGAAAAGGCCATAAAGAATCATATTATTTCATGTTTACTTAAAATTGTGTATATATAAATTATACATGTATGTAGTTTAAATGAAGTTATAGCACTTAGGATGATAATGCTCCCTCCAAAATCATAAACATCTAAGAAAACTCCAGTGCCAGGACTGGGAAACATTTTTTTGAGTTCTTGGTCAAAGAAGTCCCAAACGCACCCTAACGATATAAATTAGTACCATTGCCCTTGGTTGCCTCCTAGAAATTGAAGGTAAAAATCTATTGCTAAAGACACTAGACACAGACACAGGAGAAATGAGTTAAATCTGACTTCGAAGCCTCCTTCCTAAGTATTAATTCTCATAATACTACAAGGAGCTATGCAAACTACCCAAGGGAAAAAGCAATCAAGGTGTAATATTGATACTGAGGATAAGCAACAGTCATCTAACTAGATTTAAGACCTGCTTAACAGTAGGGAGGTCATGCCAGACACTATAAACCTAACCTGCTAAGGCCTGTGACCCCAGAGGACAATGTATGACCACAACTTTCCTAAACCTGTATAATTTCTAACTGCTTATGTGGTAGATTACACTGACATATTTTTGTATGTTGAACTATCCCTGTATCTCTGGGATGAAGCCTACTTGATCACAGTGGATAATTTTTCTGATGTGTTCTTGGATTCAGTTTGTCAGTGTTTTGTTGAGTATTTT